AAAAAAAAAACTTTATCGAAAAAAAAAAAACAAAAAGTGATGAGCTACTCATTTGAGCAATAAAAAAAAAAAAAAAAAACAAAAAAAAAAATTCACATTTTGCTTTTCAGACCAAGTCTTAAAAAAAAAAAATGTACTTCAAAAAAAAAAAACATCATCAAGGGCCCAGTAAACCCATGTCACAAAAAAAAAATCATATTGGAAAAAAAAAAAATTTCCATCATGGCAGACAGCTCCATTGGACAAAAAAAAAATAGGTTATAAAAAAAAAAAAAGAGAACAAAAGTCACCAATATACCCATTTATTTCAATGTATTGTGCCCTCCTGTTTTCTGTGCATGTATATACACACATAAATATGTTTTCAAAAAAAAAAAGGTCACACAAAAAAAAAAATGGGTTTTTTGTTTTCTCAGGCCCCACATAAAAAAAAAAAACAGCTATAAAAAAAAAAAAATGTGAGTAGGGGTGTGTGTGTGTGTGTGTGTAAAAAAAAAAGTGCGTTTTAAAAAAAAAAATCAACCTGTTGCAAAGGCTGGAGTGCAGTGGAAAAAAAAAAGCTCATTACAAAAAAAAAAACCCAAGTTCAAGCGATTCTCCTGCCTCAGCCAAAAAAAAAACTAGAATTAAAAAAAAAAAACACCACATCTGGCTTTTTGTATTTTTAGTAGAAAAAAAAAATCACCATGTAAAAAAAAAAAGTCTCAAACTCTGACTTCAGGTGGTCCACCCGCCTTGGCCTCCCAGTATTGGGATTACAGACATGAGCCACTACACCTGGCCTAGCATATTGAAAAAAAAAATTAAAAAAAAAAAAAAAAAAGTTGGGGTCTTGCTGTGTTGCCCAGACTAGAAAAAAAAAAATATTCATAGAAAAAAAAAAAGGGCACTACAGCCTCAAACTTCTGAGCTCAAAAAAAAAAAACTCAGGCCCAAAAAAAAAAACATGCCCAGCTATAAATATAGTTTTTTGCTTAAAAAAAAAAGTTTTTGTTAAAAAAAAAAAGGGTCTTGCTCTGTTGCCCAGGCTGGAGTGCAAAAAAAAAATCTCGGCTCAAAAAAAAAAATGTCTCCCAGGTTCAAGTGATTCTCCTACCTAAAAAAAAAAAGTAGCTGGAAAAAAAAAAACACGCCACTATGCCCAGCTAATTTTTGTATTAAAAAAAAAAATGAGGTTCAAAAAAAAAAACCAGGCTGGTCTCAGACTCCTGACCTCAGGTAAAAAAAAAACCTCCGTCTAAAAAAAAAAAGGGATTACAGGCGTGAGCCACTGCGCCCAACAAAAAAAAAATAATTTTAAAAAAAAAAAAATCTTACAAACCCTCCAGTGGCTTTGGCTCCCAAAAAAAAAATGAGGCACCAAAAAAAAAAAGAAATAGCATGGGTTTTGGAGTAAAAAGACTAAAAAAAAAAACATCTGTGAAAAAAAAAAAAAGCTATTTTCTGACCA